TGCTGCCCAAGTCTTGTTGATCTTTCTATCCTAGCACCAAGGGTGGTGCTCAGTAGGGATTGATTACATGAAGGGATGAGTCAATTTATTAATTTAACAAATATTTCTTGCACACCCATGTGTGCTATACAGTCTGCTACATATGGGGAACACTGGAGCAAACAAAGTAGCCAGACTCTACCTGCCTTCACCGAGCTCATGGTCACAGTGCTTCCCAATGAGAGTACTCTTGGCACTTTGGGGGATAATCCTTTGCAGGTGGGGTGCAGAAAGGAGAGCATCCTGGCCTCTGAGGAGTCAGAGAAAGCTAAAAAGTTTCAGAGGAGACTTGAATTTAGCCTTGAAGCCTGACTTCTGGTCCTAAATGTCACTGTTACCCTTGAGTCATTGTGACAACAAGAAGTGCCTCTGCACATTTCCAACTACCAGGGAACTGGAGGGGCCCCCCCACCCAAGGGCCGCTGCTGAGGAACTTGACAGTGAGTGAAGGAAGGCCAGCCCCAAATTATGAAGGTGTAAGTCCTCCAAGTTCACATATAAATTGCTTGGTTTAGAACTGGGAAGCTATGTTTGGCCTGCAAAGATGTAAAATGATCCTTCAGTTCCTAAGTTAGGCCGCAGAGGCAGTAATATAGCTCAGGTTCTCCTGAACTGGGTAGGGCTGAGGCATAGTCACTGTTGTGGTGATTTGGGACATGCTGATGAGCTGGTTACTTGGGTATGTCCAAAAGCAGCCAGATTCTGACCCCAGGCACAGATGATTAGTCTGATCTCAAGATATAGATTTGGGATAAATTTATATTGAGATGGGAGTTAGAGTTGAGGCCCAGGATGCACAAAGATGGGCAAGGAAGAAGGCACTGGAGAAAGATGAGGAAGGAACGCGGGATAAAGGCTGGAGCTAGAGAAGGAGGCCTCTGTGGCAGCTCTTCTCTACGCCTTCACTTCCATCCCCCGGTTGACCCTCTAGTTCAGGGTGGCAGCTTGTGCCATTGTGGCAGCCTCCTAACTGGCCCCCTTCTTTCTTCTGATCTCTCTGTTCCAGAACTACCTTCATAAAACACAGTTTTCATCATGTCTTTTCCCAGCATTCATTAGGTCCAACCTCCTCAGCCTTGCCCTCCTGCCCAGATTCTCCTTTCAAGGCTCATTGTTGTTTGTCTCCTAGCCCCTACTGTCGGGCTATGCGGGGCCCCCAGCACACACTGCCCTTATCTCCTCCTGCCACCTCCTCCCCTGGGTGCCCTTTGGCGCTCTCTCCACTTGGAAAAATACACTCAGGCTTCAAGGCTAAACTCAAGTCTCCTCTTTCATATAGCTTTCTCTGACCCCTCAGAGGCCAGTGATGCTCTCCTCTCTGCACCCAGTTCTTCACATACATCTTGGGGCTGTCCCCCCTACTATACTGGGAGTTCTCTAAGGACAGCAGCCAGTTCTCATTTTGCTTCGTAATCCCATTGCCTGGTCCAGGGTGAATGAGTGGGAAAGTGAGTGTGGGGTTTGACTGGTGTGACAGGGCAAAGAGGAAGCGGAATAGTTCCCTGGGTCTACTTGAGCCACTTTTAACTACGCTTGTAACAGCGTGATATCCGTAGAAAGGGGAGGTTCCAGGTTCCCTGTCCTATCCGGGGAAGGTGACGCTGGACAGTAAGGACAAGCTAGAAAAGTCTGGGAAAAGGACTTGGGGAGGAAGAAGGACGAAGACCTGGAGGAGGCACATGGGGCAAAGACACATGTGAAGAAGCCGCACTTGCTTCTCGGCTTTGGATTTGTACCAGGGACTTGGGGAACATGGAAGGAGACACTTGAGAGGGAAAGATATGTGGGTCAGAGACCCGTGGGGAGGCTGACAGTGGCAACCATTACCTTGATTTGCTCTTTTCCTCCCAGACTTGCATAGCCCCTTCTGCTTCTTCCCTATGGTGCTCCATCAGAAGGTGCCTTAGACTTGTGGCAGGCTTGTGGCAGGCTTTCAGGCCTCAGTGGCTCTGCATGGACCAGTCCTGTTTGGTTGAGCATTTACCACGAGGGGATGGGTAACTTCGGGCATTTAAATTGGAAACTATTTTAACTCTATTCTTTCTCTTCTCTCTATTGCACACGAATTCTATTAAAGTTCTTTTCTGTTGAAGGTTTTATGCACTAAGAGGATGCTTTGTCTTGATGCAGCAGGTGGTAGGACCCATTTAGAGCAGGCAGGTTTGGGAATCCTGGGGTGCCCCTAATTCTGTCCACTAACACTTTCTCCCCAGAGCACTATCTTGGGACAATTCGTAGAAGAGCTAGGGAAGAGAAGGGAAAAGATTGAGAGCCAGGGCCAAGGGTAAGCAGAGGAGGCAGTATAGAGAAGAGAGGGTGAGAGAGAAGAGGGTGGCGCAAAGGTCTCTGTTAACAGCTTACAAATTCATAAGGGGTTCGTATAACCTGGAATGGAATAAGAAAAAAAAAATGGAAATGAAAGCAGCAACTTAGGCAGGTCAGCTGAATGTACAGTTAATTAACAGGCATTAGTGCCCTTCAGTGCCAAGCCGTGCGTGGAACCAGGTCCTGCTGGAATCGAATGCCAGCTACTCAGGCAGAAATCAGCATTGGCATGAAAGAACTGGAGAATTCCTCAGAGAGCTCTTTTTAAGGGCACCAGCAGCCACTGGAATCCCTAGTTACCCCACACACAGCCCTGGCTTTTGCCAAACAAAAGTGGGTATGAGAAGAAAAACAGCATGTAGTGGGAGGCTAGGGTCTCAGGTCATGCCAGACACATTTTTTTTAAGATTTATTTATTTATTTATGCAAGATCTAGGGTACAGACCACATGCGCGGGAGGGTGAGAGGATTCACCAGAGACAAAGCGGGGAGCAGAACAGACAGACTGACGAAATACACTGCTGAGGGGAGCAGCGAGCGAAACAGGAGAGGTCTGCCACGCCATGTGGGATTCTCGCCAGCCGGCTGGGCTCGAACCTGCGCTGCAGAGGCTGCGGACAGCTTCACAGTGCGGCGCTCAACCGCCTGCGCCACCAGGGAGGCCCAATGCCAGACACATTTTTTTTTAAAGATTTATTTATTTATTTATTTATTAATACAAGAACCAGGGTACAGGGCAGACATGCAGGAGGGTGAGAGGATTCACCAGAGACAGAGCAGGGAACAGAACAGGCAGACTGACGAAATACACTGCTGAGGGGAGCAGCGGGCGAAACAGGAGAGGTCTGCCGCGCCATGTGGGACCCTCGCCAGCCGGGATGGAACGGGCGCTGCAGAGGCTGTGGACAGCTTCACAGCGCTGCGCTCAACCGCCTGCGCCACCAGGGGCGGCCCCAGACACATTTTAACATACATGAACTTATTTGATCTTAACTGCAACTATTTTACAGATTAGAAAATTGAGGTCCTGGGAAGGTTAAGAATCTTATCCGAGGGCACACAGCTTGAAAGTCTTCGATCTAGGATTCCAGGGAAGATTGCCCCTCCTAGGTTGGCAGCCATTTGCTCTCCGGTCTTGCTGACTTCAGCTGTGGGGCTGATCTCATTGATTTCTTTGAACAAAATACCAGCAGTTTTTCCTGGCTCTGGAATGAGCCCTCAGAATCATGTGCTTTTCTCCAGTTTCCAGCACCTACTGCTGTTGGAACGTCATGAATATGAAGCAACAGGCCTTATCCAGAGAATCGAGAGTGTGCACCCAGAAATGCCAGGTGCTTTTGTTCCCAGAAGATACTCCAGGCTTAGGGGTTCCAAGTTACGGGGTTCCAATTTTCTCTTTTCTTTTCCCTCTTGATCTGCCTGTGGTTGATGGTTGCCTGCTTTTCCCTGCCAACCTAAAAATCCTTAACAAAATCATGGTACCTTTGAGACGTTGCCCACACTGTGTTCTGACTGGCTTAGGACCCATTTCTATCTGCTCATTGGTCAATGGATGGGATCTCTTTGCTGCCAGTCTCTGAGGGATGGTGAGCAGAGGACAGGCGGTGTGGAGCAGGCAGGGGTTGGGGGCACGGGGGGGGGCGGGGGGGTTGGGGGGAAGGGTCATGTTCCCAGAATTCTGACTTGGCAGCTCAATCAGTAGCCAGTGGAGGTTAGTGGGCGGAGTCAATCAGAGGTCAAAAGGACACCCAGTACTACCCTATGCGAGGTAGACTTTAGGGTGGGGGAGATTGACTAGAAAATCCATGAGGATAGTTTTCTGGAGTCAGGTTCAGTCTGGGAATATTTTGGGCTGGGCTTTTGGCTTTGAGTTGATGGTAGCATCTAGGGATTAGCAGAGTACATGCTGGGCCTTCTAAAATCTTGTTGAAAAAAAGAATTTTTGCTGATATACAATGACAATCAGGGTAAAAAAGTCTCAGGCCCTGGGTTTGAGCTTTTGCTCTGGTCATTTTAGTGAACAGTATTCTTCTGCACTACCTTCAAAATCTGCTTGGATCTGACTACTTCTTATCACTCCCACTGCTACCATCCTAGTCTGTGCCATCATCCGTTCTTGCCAGGATTATTGTAGTAGACCTGTCATCAGACTCCCAAAGTGATGCTGTAAAAACATAATCTGGGCATGTTAGTCTTTTTCTCAACATCCTTCAATTGCTCCCCAGATTGCTCATATTAAAAGCCAAATTTTATGGGAGTCTGCAAGGTCTCCAGAACCCACTCTCTCCCGCCCCTTACTTCCTTGGCATTCGCTCCTACAAGTCCTTCTGTCTGTCACTTCCTTCATTCCAGCCACACCAGTCCACTGAATGTTCTTTCAGCTTGCCAGGCACATCTACGCTTTGTCCTTGCTTTTCTCCTTCTGCCTGGAATGCTTTTCCCCAACATATCTGCCAGGATACTGGGAGAAAGTGGCGACGGGAAGTAGGAAAGGGCTGCTGCATGAAGAGGCTCTCCCGACAGGAGCTGTCTTTGGTAGAGGGAGGAGCCAACCCAGGAAGAGCATGCAGAGAGAGCTGATGAATTGATACCCCGCCTCCTTTTTAACTTCCTTTTTCCTTTTAATCTCCTTGCAGGTGCCTCCCATTGGTCAAACCTAACCCGAAGCCAGAGGGCAAGGGAACCTGTGGATGCAGTCCATACAGGTCAGCCTACCAGGGCGCAAAACTGGGTGGAGTAGGGTGGGGAAGATCTGGAGGGTGCCTGGAAACTATCCAGAACCTCTGAATAACTTTTGAGCAAGCTCCCTCACTTCCTTCAGCTCACCACCAAACTGTTACCTTCTTGGCGATGCCTTTTCTGTCTACCATTGCTGAAATTCCAAACCCTGCCCCAACACCATGTCTTCTCCTTCTATATGTGTTTTTACTTCATAGCACATAACATATAAATTATGTTTTTCTTGCCTATTGTCTGCTCCGCTGCTAGAATAGGAGCTCTGTAAGGCAGGGACTTGATTTTATATGTTGCTATTGTTAGTGTTAGGGGGGAAAAGGATGTCCTAAAGCTAATTCCATACAGGCTTTGTGGACTCCACCCCCACCCCAGGCCAAAGCCAAAGACACTGGGAACTCCAAATCCCATCCCCACCAAAGGGAAGGTGGCTGGGACCTGAGGGTGGGTTTAAGCAGCCAGGTTGGTATAAAGCCAGACACGTGGGCTTTGGAGGGGTTCCCCATTTTGGCTCTCCGCAAGCTTGCAGTGTCCGGCCAGCTCGGAGAGTGCTTTTTGGGTTTCCAGGTCGGCGGATCGGGTAGGACGCATTAAAGACTTTATTTCCCTATTTTCTCCCTGAGTTGTACATTTTCCTTATTTCCTTTTCCCTTGTAAATAAACCTTTTATTAACCTTTTGTGTGTGCCTGTAGTGGAGTATTCATAAGTCCCTTTGCCGCGGACTAGTACAGCAGTAGACAATGAGGCCGTCTCAGGGTTGAGAGAAGCATGCAGGGTGGTCAGGGCATCGGCGAAAGAAATGACAAACAGACACACTTCAAGAGAGTGAAAATCTGAGTGTAATTTTCTTTGAGTTGGTGACCAGTATATATGTTTTTCTAAAGGCAAAGGAATGGCGAACATCAGTGAAGAAATCAGCTTGCTTATAGGTTTAGCTTATCATTGACAGAGCAGTGATTTACATCTGGACCCAGGCGCATTCCTAAGTAGTTAGGCTATTAATTTTTCTTTTTATTTTATGTGATTACTTTTTGTTTAAACTACTCACTACCACTAAATTACTATTAATTAGCACGGGTGAATTTTACTTTTCACAATGTAATATTTTTTATCATTAAGATTAATACTAACAAGGCTAAGCATACAACAGAGAAATTATTAAGCTAACAGTTCTATTAATACACAGTGTTTAGTAACGTTTCATTTGAATTAGTCTAGTTATTAGATTTCATATGTTCTTTTTTAATCAGCAAACCAATGACCTTTTTAGACAGAGAAAGAGAAAAGATTTTAGAAAGAGAAAAGATTTTAGAGAGACAGTTGTATTAGAATAAAGTTTGTGGGCCTTGAGAAGGCGAGATAAGGTTCCGTGCGGTCAGCATTTCTGTAGTGGCTCCTTGGGGTCATTATCTTTCAACAGGCTTCCGTCTTATCTATGTCTTCGGGGGGTTTGCTGTTCTCCCCCTGCTTCAGGGAGTTTTGCTGTTCTCCCCCTGCGCGCTGGTTCCTTGCCCAGCCGGACCTAGGGACTGTGGTGAAAGCCATTAGCCCTAAGGGTCACTGCAGGGGGAGGTGCAGCAGGTCCTCCTTTGTTTTTTAGAACGGAGTTGGTAGGCGTACATGTCATGTTGAAGGCGGTAGATCGACCTGTGAAGTAAGCGGACACAGAGGGGAACGAGTAAAGGAGCAGGACGAGTAGGGAAAGAACAGTGAAGGAGAGAACAAGATGATACCAGTGAGTAGGAGTCAAAGATTGGAGAGTGGAAGGCAGAGAATGGGCAAAAAAAGAAACTGAAGTATTCAGATGAGATTTACTGACAGTAGAAATTTTCGCTTGGAGAGATGAAAGGTCATGAGAAAGGTCACCGTCATGCCAGATGCCCAATAGGTGATGTTTGGTGAGATTCCAATGTAAGGAAGAGTTATAATGTAAAGGTGTAACACAAATGAAACGAAATTGAGCATGGCATCGAGTAGACAGTTGTTGTTTGAGGAGTTGAACCTCATCGCCAATACAATAACAATTTCTTCCAGAGCATTTAACTTTTTTTTCTAACTTATAGTCAATGTCCCGCTGTGTAGAGAGCGCCATGGACATATTTTTGGTAAGGTCATTCACAAAAGAAGTTGTCTTAGCTTCCTGAATTAAAGCAACAGAGGAAGCAGCTAAAGAGGTAACTAAGGAAATTAATGCAGCAATACCAAGAATAAGGGCAACAATAAAACGTTTAGGACGAAGAAGAGCATGTACCTCATCCAAAATTTGCATAGCAGTATTATCATACCAAGGCATATCATGTAAATCAACAGGTAACATAACATAGGGGGGTCTTTTGAGCAAGACCACCACAGGATATAGACGAGCAAGAGAGGGGGTAATACAATTAGTATCCACACAACCGGAACATTGGACAGAATAAGAGTTCCCGCGGGATTGGATACATGTGGATGAAGCATTTCCCAGGTGCAGAGCAAAGGGGTATCCAACGCAGGCACGCACTGGGATCTTAGCAGTGTCCTGTCCAGGTTGTTTGAAGTGTACATCATCAAAGGCAGCGAAAAGACGAAAGAGTTCAGGCTTCATGACAGAGCTTTCTGTCCAGGGAACCGGGTTATTCAGTCCTGCCAATGGAGGCAAGCTTCCTCATCATTTTCAGAGGTCTCTGGAACCTTGCGAACAAAGCAGCAGTTTCTCCACATTTTAGTTTAGCTCTATGTTAACTCCCTGGAAGAATTGTACTCAAAGCCACACAAAAGGTTAGCTCTGCTAGAAAAAGAAAAAAAAAAAAAATATATATATATATATATATATATATAACATTGCTGTAGAGTCTGGTCAGTCAAAACAAGAAAATTTTGTTGAATCAAGGCAAAACGTAAAAACATTTTCAACGTTATGTCAAACAAAACAGTAAAAATCAGGTGTATTTTCAACAGTCTATACAGTTCTTTGTAGAAAAATTTTTACTCTCAAAAGTTTATCATTTTGAATCAATTGAGGCCTTTTTTTCTTATTTTGTGTAGAAACAAGTCCTGTAGACATTAAACCATTGAAGTATATAATATTGCAAGGCAACAATAATTATTGACAATTTACATACATATTAGGTATTGAAAGATTTTGTTTTAGAAAACCAATGTTAACATTTTTGTACATGCCAAAGTTTTACCATTTTCCCAAGTGACAATGCTTCCCTTCCAGTTTTACTTTACTAGGTAAACCAAATCGAACAAATTTATCTAACTGCTTTTCCCAGAGGAAAGGGAGAAAACTTGTGGAGTGTCTCAGGAGCTCTACTGAGGTTCCACAAAATTTCCTTGCATCAGCCAAATGACAGGCTACCAAATTTGTACTTGAATTTAGATTTCTGGGAAGCTTTGCCATAAATATTAGAAAAACAACAGAAACAACAATATTAAATTTCTATGAAGATACTGGCTTAGTTTAGTATTACAGTGTTGACAATTTTACTGAAATGGCCTGTGTGGCCACATGAAAGCAAGCTTTAGTATTAATTAATCTTTTTTATTATGTGAATAAATTGATTAAATAATGCAATACAGTCAAATTTCCAACACATATCATTGTTTCTTTTCAAACCCATTATTTGCAGGTTTTATAAATCAAGGCAAATAAAATTCACTTCCCCTCAAACCTTCTACAACTTACTACATACCCTCAATTTTAGCTTTTTCTCTATTTTTCCACATTCTGGCACAACCAGATATTTTAATTTTAAGACAAAACTACTTTCCCTTTCCTTCTTATTTTACTTACTATCAGTTATCAATTGCTCTCCCTCTTTTCTTCAGACACCACTAAAACTTTCAACAAATCATGATGTTGGTTTCCTTTCAGTATTCCAGAACACAAGGAGGTGCTTTGTGTGTTCACCACCCCAAAACGCTACTTAAAACATTGCAGATTTTTAAAATTGACTTAAAAACAGTATAACTTGGTTTTAATATGACAAAAAAATTTACATATATAAGTATATATATATATATATATATATATACATTTCTAGTCAAGGAAAGAACACTTTAAAGATACATTTACACAGAGTAGATTATTAATATTTAACACTATAACTTTAAGGATATATGCTTTGAATTATATCATAAAATTTGAACTAGTTCTTGTATATTAAAAATTTGGATTATGATCTCAAAATTTGTTTTTATTAGAACTTATATAGGCGCTGTTTATAACTAGTCCTCCGGAGGTAAAAAACAAAACAAACGCAAAGAAAGACAAACAGATACAGAGATTTTTTTTTTAATATACATTTAAAATTTAGGCCATGTGCATATATTTTGAAACACAGTTATTTTACCAATATGTATGAAGATACTGAGGTTTTTAATGAGTTAACAGTTAAAATCTGTGCACAGAATAAGTGTCTAATCTTAATTATTACCAAAGACTTTGGGCTGGAGACCACAGCAGTCACGGCAGTTTTTACTAATTATTTTTGATAAGAAAATATTTTTGGAGTTTACATTTTTAAGAAATGATTTTTTGGCTTTAGGTTGTTAACACATTATCTCACTGGGAACGGTCATATTTTAAAACATAAAAGAACACTGTTATCTTGAAAACAGGAGAAGAGATAAATTTTTACAGTCTGCCTGTAAAATTTGAGGTTTAGAATTTAGCTCAAAAATGTCTGTATTATTACTTTATGTTTTACCAGGTTAGTTTGTTTTAACAAGAAACTTAATTTTTTACAGGTCCAATAAGTAAAATTAAAAGCTTTTATTCAACCAATAAGCATTTTGTATAGCTTGTTAGCACGTCAAAAGTAACTCAGCAGTTTTTGCCTAAGATAATTTAGACTTTAAAATCAGAGAAACACAGGGAAATGGAACTTTTTTTTTTTTTTTTTAGAATGAACCAAAATAGTTATTTAAGGTGGATGGATAATAGAAAAGTTTAGTCCTTCACAGCAGGAAGGTAGTAGAGACCTG